GAGAGAGAGAGAGAGAGAGAGAGAGAGAGAGAGAGAGAGAGAGAGAGAGAGAGAGAGGCCTGAACGAATAGGCTGCACGAAGATTGTATCAGAAAAGTGTAACGGTCCGTATGCCACGTACTCCTAAGGGAGGGGCACCAACACGATAGGGCAAGGAATCGGATGCGCAAGAGCACACGTCGGCACGGGCACTCCCTTTGTTTTCGCTTTCGTTTTATGTTCTTAGGGCCATGCTAATATTGTTTATATCTAACATATGGTTCCATTCTCATTAATTCTCGCATAGGCCGACATTCCTATTTGTCACTAACCACGAATCTTTCTTGCCTCTCCAAAAGTCCGTTTTTGAATTCAGACATTATATTTGGAAGGCGGGCTATTAAAAAAAACCTTCTGAATACGATTCTGACATTTGACATCCCCAAGGACACAGGCACTTCATTGCATCGTCGGTATCCCTCGCTTTTGACAAAGTTTTCAGCGCATTCTAACGTGTGGCCGTAATCAACGGAGTTCCAATTGATCTACCTAAGTCCGGAATTGTCTTCCCTGAAAGAAAAAAAATGAAAAAAAAAAGGAAAAGCATCCAAAAGAGGCGAAAGTGCCGTTGCCACTATAGATTGCTTTCGATTGGTCAGGCCTCATTGGGCACATTATTCCTCCCGCTCGCCCAAGGAGTTGAGCGGCATTGGAGTTGAGCGGCATTGCCGTCAGATAAGTCCCACAAAGCCCGACAGGTGTGACCGTCCCCTGTCGTTTTCACCGCGTCCGACAAGATAAGTCAGGCCATGTTCACACCTCCTGGGCGGTGAATAGGTCACTGAGGGCATACTCACACACGCACTGTCCACTGTTTGCAGCATGCATCTGACTGGAATCACCGCGAGAGGAGTATGAAATCTGATTGCAATCACCTCCAGTCTCCAGAGCTTTGTGGACAACCTTCTCGTGTTCCCAGCATGCCCTCACTGCTGTGGCAGCGGGAGCATGCCCGTCTCATCCCTCCTGGTGCAGTCCCGCAGCTGCTGATATGTCCGTCCAGGCAAGGAATCCGATGTGAAATTGGCGAAGTGTTCGTTCCTTCGTTTTTAAGGCTCGACGCTGTGCCTGCCTTCATTCCAGCAAAGAGGCATTGCGGGGCTAGGGTCCTAGCCCATCTAGCCCCGGCAGTCGGTACTAACTATCCGATCTTTGTGGACATATATGCAGCGAATCTCATTCCAAGTGCCCCGCCCTCCACTACAACCTCACTCCCAAGCCCGTAACCGACCCCTCACCCCCTCCCCC